AGCCCGGCGCCCACAGCCCCTCTGCCTGCAGATCTCGGACGCCGTGTACCGCCTGGTGTACGAGCAGGCCAGGGCGCGCTTCGAGGAGGTGCTGTCCAGGCTGCAGAGGGCCCGGCCGGCCATGGAGGCCGTCGTCCGCACCGACATGGACCAGATCATCACCTCCAAGGAGCACCTGGCCAGCAAGATCCGGGGTAGGCAGGCACCGCCAGGCCTGGGTCGGTGCTGGGTCTTTATTTCTTTTTTTTTGAGTCAGATTCTCATCTGTCACCCAGGCAGGAGGACAGTGGCACGCTCACAGCCACCTTAGCCTCAACCTGCTGGGCTCTGGCGATCCTTCCGCCTCAGCCTTCCAAGTAGACGGAACTATAGGCATGTGCCACCACGCCCGGCTAATTTTTTGTTTTATTCTAGAGATGAGGTCTCACCACGTTGCCCAGCCTGGTCACGAACCCCTGGACCTCACCTCAGCCTCCCAAAGTGCTGGGATTATAGCATGAGCCACCGTGCCTAACCTTTTTTTTCCCTTTTTTTAGAAAGAGGGTCTCGCTCTGTCACCAAGACTAGAGTGCAGTGGCACAATCATAGTTTACTGAAGCCTCCAACTTCCAGTGACCCTCCTGCCCCAGCCTCCTGAGTAGCTGGGATTATGGGTGTGTGCTACCACACCTGCCTAATTTTCAAAATTTTTGCGAAGTCTTGCCATGTTGCCCAGGCTGGTCTTGAACTCCTGGCCTCAAGTAATTCTCCTACTTCGGCCTCCCAGGTGCTGGGATTGTAGGCATGAGCCACCTCACCTGGCCAGGTCCTCCTTTGTATTTAATGATCCATGTGCATTTCTCAGCAATGTCTTGCTCCTTGATTGTTTTAAAAATCAGAATCAGCTGGGCTTGGTGGCTCAGCCTGGAATCCCACGCCTTTGGGAGGCTGAGGTGAGTGGACTGCCTGAGCCTGCGGGGCTCGAGACCCGCCTGGGCAGCAAGACCTCATCTCTACAATAAATCAAAAAAAATCAGCCGGGCGTGGTAGCGCATGCCTGTAATTCCGGCTACTTGGACGGCTGAGGTGGAAGGTTCGCCGGAGCCCAGCGGGTCGAGGCTGCGGTGGCCGGGAGCGGCCACTGCACTCCAGTCTGGGTGACGGAGTGAGACTCCAACTCAAAAAAAAAAAAAAATCAGAGTCAAATCTGTGCTGTTTTTGCCCCAGCCCCTGTGAGTTGCTTTGTGGCTGTTATTTCTATAAGCCCAGATCCTGAAGGTCAGAAGTTTTGTCCAGGAGGCCCATGCCTTCTGTTTGCGTATTTTCCCCTGTGTCCTTTTCGCGGTCGTCAGTTTCACTCTGCAACGATGTTCTTCCAGCAAATGTAACTTTCCCAGGTCCATTTGCACCCCTGTCTGGTCCAGCCAGAGGGACCCTGTCTCCGGCCGGACCCCAGACAGGCCCGCCATGCAGCTTAGCTATTGTCTGTGCCGTTGGGTCGTTCTCTGCCAGCTGCTTTTGTTGGGAACTGGATGGGACACAGAGCTGACATTTATTTTGTGGAACAACCAAAAGAGAAAAAAATAATTAAAAATTAAATTTTGTGGAACAAACAACATTAGCTGGGCAGCGGCGGGGGTGGGCCTCAAAATAACCCCTGGGTAAAAATGCTTTGGTCAGAATGTTCTGGAGGTGGTTCCTGCCACAAAGAAGAGCCCTTACATAATTACGCAGAGCCAGGCCACTCCATTCCCGAGCAGGATGGGCCCAGTTTTGTAAAATCAAGAGACTCATTGAATCCACTAAAGTGGTTTTTGTTTTCTCTTTTTAAGTAAGAGTGTTTAAAACAAAAACACCCAGAGGCATGTTTTTCCTCTGCTGCTAGCTGAGCATAAAACTACTGACACCTTTGGACTAGCTTCGTGCCATCATAGTTTTAGGAATACCAGAGGTCCAATCTCAGATACCCCATTATTTTTGTTGCATGGTTTTATTTTATTTATTTATTTATTTATTTACTCTGAGTTGGAGTCTCACTCTGTAGCTCAGAGGGGAGTGCAGTGGCCCAGCCTCGCCCTGCTGGGCTCTGGCAACCCTTCCGCCTCAGCCTTCCGAGTAGCCGGAACTACAGGCATGCACTACCATGCCCGGCTGATTTTTTGATTTATTGTAGAGATGAGGTCTCGCCAAGTTGCCCAGGCGGGTCTCGAACCTGCGGGCTCAGGCCATCCACTCACCTCAGCCTCCCAAAGGTGCGGGATGTTGCATGGTTTCATTCTTTTTTTTTTTTTTAAGTCGGGGTCTCATTCTGTCACCCAGACTGGAGTGCAGTGGCAGGATCATGGTTCGCTGCAGCCTCCAACTCCTGGGCTCAGGTGATCCTCTTGCCTCAGCCTCCTGAGTAGTGGGGACTACAGGTGTGTGCCACCATGTCCAGCTAATTTATTTATTTATTTATTTATTTGTTGAGTTGGAGTCTCACTCTGTTGCCCAGACTGGAGTGCAATGGCCGCTCCCGGCCACCGCAGCCTCGACCTGCTGGGCGCCAGTGATCCTCTCGCCTCAGCCTTCCGAGTAGCTGGAATTACAGGCATGCGCTACCACACCCGGCTGATTCTTGATTTATTGTAGAGACGAGGTTCCGCCAAGTTGCCCAGGCGGGTCTTGAACCCGCGGGCTCAGGCCATCACTCACCTCGGCCTCCCAAAGGCGCAGGATTGCAGCTGAGCCACGGAGCCTGGCTCCAGCTAATTTTTTCAATAGAGACAAGGTCTTGCTGCGTTGGCCAGGCTGCTGTTGAATTCCTGGGCTCAGGCAGTCCTCTCGTCTTGGCTCCCCAACTGCTGGATTTCCGGTGTGTGCCACTGTGCCCAGCGGGACTTACTACCTTCAACAGTTCGCCCACAGTGATTCTGCTGGCTAAGGTTGCCACCAGTGAATTTCCCTCAGAACTCAAGAATGGAGCATGCCGCTAGCTTCGGGGTTCTGGGGTGGCCGGGAGGGGCTCCTGGGGCGCCTGCTGATCCGGCGGCCTCGGGGCGCAGCCTTCATCCTCCCCAAGGCCGAGGTGTGTGTGCGCAACCACGTCCAGCCTTACATCCCGTCCATCCTGGAGGCCCTGATGGTGCCCACCAGCCATGGCTTCGCGGAGGTGCGGGACGTCTTCTTCAAGGAGGTCACCGACATGAACCTGAACGTGATCAACGAGGGCGGCATTGACAAGCTGGGCGAGGTGAGGCGGGCACTGTCCCCGGAGACCTGAATCTGGTCTGCCCCCGAAGGCCCTGGTGGCGTGACTCAGGGCAGCCACTCCCCTCCCGGGTCACAGGAGGCCAGGGGCGGAGGCCCCGAGGCCAAGTTGTAGAGCGTCTGGTGGGGCCGGCAGTCAGAGGAGAGGGACGGGGAACCCCAGCCGTCAGTCCTCACGTGAGGGGGAACCCCCCAAAGCTGGAACTGTCTTTGGAGGGCCGGCCCCTTCTAGTACAGGCCTCCCCTGCCAGGGAGTGTTCTGGGAACCCACGGGCCCCAGCGTACCAGCGAGTGGTGTTGTGAGAGGCTGCGTTCAGCTTCAGTGAGTTTGGTTTTTTTGGGGTTCAGTGCGTTCGCCCATTTCACGATGGGCGATGTGTGACGCACCTGCCCCACTGCGCTGAGCGTTCAGCAGTTTTTGGCCGAAAAGAGCAGGACCTCCGTGCCCCACCCTCGCCCAGTTTTGCCCCACGCGACTTTCTCTGGTTCCCTGAAAAGAAGTTCCCCGAGGGAAACGTTTTGCCCATGTGGAAGAGGTGAAACCAAAAATGGCAGAAGCACTAAAAACCATGAACGCGTTCAAAAACTGTTCTGAGCAGCGGGAAAGGCATATCCGTAGGTGTATGGTGTCAAATGAAGAGTAATTTGGAGGCGACCAAAGTTTAAACATAGGAGAATAAATACACAATTTGTCTAAATAAATTCAGGGGGTTTTTTTTGGTCCCTCTCATAAGCCAAGAGCCTAGCTAAGATGGAAAATAATTTTTTTTGTTTTGAGTTGGAGTCTCACTCTGTCACCCAGACTGGAGGGCAGTGGGCTGCTTCCGGCCACTGCAGCCTGGACCTGCTGGGCTCCGGCGATCCTTCTGCCGCAGCCTTCCGAGTAGCCGGAACTACAGATGTGCGCTACCATGCCTGGCTAATTTTTGATTTATTGCAGAGATGAGGTCTCGCCAAGTTGCTGGGGTGGGTCTCAAACCCGCGGGCTCAGGCCATCCTCTCGCCTCGGCCTCCCGAAGTGCTGGGATGACAGGCTGAGCCACCGAGCCCGGCCGGAAAAGAATTTAACCGAGATGGCAGGGAGAGAAGGACGGGAGTGGGGGGGACTGGCAAGCTTCAGGTGCCGGCAAGAGGTGAACGAGGTGGAATGGAAACCCCGCGGGCCCTCCAGGGGCAGCCCGTCGCTCTCACTTGACCTCAGCTGTCCAGCTTTCGTGGCGAGCATCCGGCCACAGTCCCTGTCCTGGGCACTTGGCTTCCTGGAGCCCATGCAGTCCTCGGGTACGGGCAGACTTGATCTTGTGTCTCAGCTTCCTCCCCTACACTCCCAGGGTGGGCGTCCACGAGACCGTCATAACCCTAGAACTCAAGAACTGGAACAGACCTTGGAGATCATGGATGCGATCTCCTGATTTAAAGATTTTTTTTTTTGGTCCCAGCCACCCCCTGAGGAGACCAGTGAGGAAGTGAGCAAGGAAGAGAGACAGAGGGATCTCGGCGGGACCTCCGGAAAGTGTTAGGGTCACACTCTCCCAGCGGGGCCCTCCAGAATGTGGGGTCAGGCCCGCTGGGGGGTGGGTGTCTGGGGTGCGATCCGATGCTGCATGAGAGAGACAAAGAATTGCACAGAAGTTAGATTAGAAAATATCATTTATTTAGAAGTAAATCAGAGAGAGAGAAAATTCACCTCCCCGAGGTCGGGGGTGGGGCCAAGGCCAGGAAGAATGGTGACAGCCGTAGCTCAGAGAGCACGTGGCCACACCAGAGTCTAGCAAGGCAATGGCCTTTTTTTTTTTTTTTGAGTCGGGGTCTCACTCTGCTGCCCAGGCTGGAGTGCAGTGGTGTGATCAGTGCTTACCACAGCCTCGACCTCCTGGGCTCAGGCTATCTATCCTTCCCCCTCAGCCTCCCGAGTAGTCGGGACCGCAGGTGCTACCCTGCCCAGCTAATTGTTCTGGGCTTGTGAAAAGACAGCATCTCAAAACGATGCCCGGGCCCGGTCTCCAAATCCCGGGTGCGTGTGATCCTCCTGCTTCCGCCTCCAAAAGTACGGGGATGACAGGTGTGAGCCACGTGCCTGGCCCGTCTCTTGATTGTGAGGCTGCGGAAACCGAGGCTCAGAGTGAGCGACTTGCCCAAGGCCCGCCAGAACCCCAGAAGGGGAGGAGAACCTCCCGGGGCCAGGCCGGCCTCTCCGCAGTACTGTCCTGGGCCCCCAGGCGGCCGTGCCCGGGAGCCAGGGCCTGGCCTCGGAGGGCCCGGGCAAGGGAGGGGCGTGCGGCCCACCAGGCCCCCGGCCCACCTCCCTGCCCCCCCACAGTACATGGAGAAGCTGTCCCAGCTGGCGTTCCACCCCTTGAAGATGCAGAGCTGCTACGGGAAGATGGAGCCTCTGCGGCTGGACGGGCTGCAGCAGCGCTTCGACGTGTCCAGCACGTCCGTGTTCAAGCAGCGCGCCCAGATCCACATGCGGGAGGTGGGCCCGAGGCCGCCCCAGTCCCGCCCCTCCCGACGGCCCCCTCGAGGCGGGGCG